TACCTTGATTAAAAAGTTGATTGGAGAGCGAAAAACATATAAAGAAGTGCAGAAAATGATAGGCTGCTCAGCTAAAATGATCGCAAATGCTTTAAAATGGCAACCAAAACCTGAAAGACGTGGAAGAAACCAAAAAACTACCATTCAAATGGATAGAAGAATAGCCAAAATGGCAAGGACTCAGCCAACAATCAGCTCCAGGAAGATCAAAGAAGGTCTAAAGTTACCTGTGAGTACTGTTACAATTAGAAGACGCCTATGTGAAGCCAAGCTATCTGCAAGAAGCCCCCGCAAAGTCCCACTGTTGAAAAGACATGTGCTGAAGAGGTTAGAATTTGCCAAAGAGCACATTGACTGGCCTAAAGAGAAATGGCGCAACATTTTGTGGACTGATGAAAGTAAGATTGTTCTTTTTGGGTCTAGTGGCCGGAGACAGTTTGTCAGACGACCCCCAAACACTGAATTCAAGCCACAGTACACTGTGAAGACAGTGAAGCATGGTTGCGCAAGCATCATGATATGGGGATGTTTCTCATACTACGGTGTTGGGTCTATTTATCGCATACCAGGGATCATGGATCAGTTTGAATACATCAGAATACTTGAAGAGGTCATGCTGCCTTATGCTGAAGAGGAAATGCTCTTGAAATGGGTGTTCCAACAAGACAATGGCCCCAAACACACCAGTAAACGTGCAACATCTTGGTTCCAGACCAACAAGATTGACGTTATGGAGTGGCCAGCCCAATCCCCGGATCTTAATCCAATAGAAAACTTGTGGGGTGACATCAAAAATGCAGTTTCTGAGGAAAATCCAAGAAATAGAGAAGAACTGTGGAATGTAGTCCAATCATCCTGGGCTGGAATACCTGTTCACAGGTGCCAGAAGTTGGTTGACTCCATGCAACACAGATGTACAGCAGTTCTCAGAAACAGTGCTTATACAACTAAATATTAATTAAGTGATTCAAAGGAAAGCAAAATCTTCAAACATTTTTCAGTTTATATAGTGAATGTTTGAGTTTGTAAAGAAGAATACAATAAACACTGCTATTTTTTTGAACAGTCTAATATTCACTTTTCTTCAACTTTTTTAGAGGAACAACACAAATTTGATACATTTTTCTTCATGTTTTGATTTGGAATAGAATGTGTAGTGTTCCCAATGCATTTGTGTGTATGGAAATAAAAGCTATTAGAAGGATTCTGAGCTTTATTCACTTTTTTCAACACACTGCTATTATTTTGAACACAACTGTGTGAGTGTGTGTATATATATATATATATATATATATATATATATATATATATATATATTCTTCTCTTTCTGTCATGGTAAACCGTAGAGTACATGATTGCTTGAAATCTGTTCTGAAAATATGAAATGCTGGCTGAAAAACAGCCTCTAAAGACTCACAATTATGAATAGAAAAGAAGAAGGCAAATAAATAATTTATAACCCACGTTTATAGTACCAACTGGTGATACATATTGCCTAACCATAACAGAAGACAGTTTTAATTTTATTTTTTTTAAGAACTAAATTTTAAGGATAATTTTACCTTTGGAGCATATTACGTGTTCCACCCGTTTTTAGGGTGGAACATTTAACATGTTCCAGCTGCACCTTCTCCCCTCCCGTTGACAGTGGGTGGGGGATCCTCTCCTTGCACCCACTGTCACAATTTGTAAACACTTTCCTGTGAATGAATAGACTACAAATACCACCATCCATTGCAGCTGATGACTTGTAGTTCTCAATAAACTATGAGGCGCTGGTGCGCACTCTTGTAGTCCATTTTCCTACTCTCAAGTAACTGCTTACTTGTGCATTTATTTTTTTTTAAAAGCTGAACCTAGTCTTTTAGGAGTTAAATATATATTCTTTAAAGTATTTTAATGTTACCTGCAATCCTTCTTCATATAATAATGCATTCATTCCTTGCTGATCAGCTTGAATTGCAGATCAGCCTAGAAGTGATTATACAGACTGCTCAAATATGGAAAGACAGCAATGGAGATACGTGCTTTTACTGGCTGCTGAAATGTTAGGTAGTAGAAGAGGAACCACTAACTCAAAACCATATTTGTAGCTATAAAGTCACAAATTTGGGGAACTTGGATGAGCTAGAGCTGAAAAAACCTTAAAGCGGAACTCAAGGATTTCAGCCACTTTCTAAATTATATTGGTTTACCATAGGCTAGGTCTAAAGAGGTGTATGCCACCTTGTGGACCTATCTCTTTAATTTACACTTTACATTTTTACTGAGCGCTGGGAGCATATCTATCGCTATACAAAGAATTGTTGAAAATTCACCATAGCCTTGATATTAGTACAAAGTAGCAGCTTACACAATTTGTTGACAAACTATTTCCAATAACCGACATACAATAAACTGTAGCATTTAAACAATGATAATAAAATAAAAGAACACTTTTAAGTATTAGGGCTCATGTACACGGGGCATTTGGAAAACTCTTCTGAATGATGGAAACTGACTGCTGGAAAACGTACGTTAAAAAATGTCAGTTTAGCCACGTTTGCATACCTCGTTTATGCGCGTTTAGCCGCATGTATGCACATTTGCATTTAGAAGCGTTTTTAAAAGATAACCTAAGGAGACCCTCCCAAATGCCCAGAATGCACTGAAAAATAATAAATAATTAACTATTTCAGACATTTTGAGAGAAATAGAGAGAGCAGAAACAGAGAGATCAGTATGTGCTGAGCTTACCTGTCTTTTCTGGTTGTATTCACTATGGATCCCATCATGAGCATAATGCAGCACGTTCTACCATTTTTCCTTCATATGAAATCTTGAACTGACTGCGCTGGTGTACTAGGTCCATCTGAATACATAGAAAATGCTTTGCATGCATTTCTGATGATGAAAAAAGGCTCTGGACAGCATCTGGATACGGAACAGATAAAAAACGCTTCTAAACGCAAATGCTTATAAACGCGGTTAACCGCATTTACAAGCGTTTACACACATTTACAAGCATTTGGCATTTGACACGCCAGTAAAATCTACTCCTGAACGCAAGTTTGGTGCGTTCAAAAAATACGACTGTAAACGACTATGTGTACATGGACACACAGGAAAACATTAGGGAGAGTTCTGGGGCTGTGGAAAAAAATGCTGAACAGCTCCTGAACGTCAGTTTAGCAGCTGCAGTGTACATGAACCCTTAAAAGTCCCTGCACTGAGTCCAAGGAGAAGTAATAAATACCTCAAATGTGCCCAGAAAGACAAATGTGAATGTAAGCTGTACACACCATCACATGTGAGTACACTGAGCCTTTTACCGGAGGTCTGTTGACCCTCAATATATAGAGTGGTCAAATAGCCCTTATGAATACATCCAGGATTATACAGCTTCCACCGAATACAAATCTCACAAGTTCATCTGGACTGCTTACTTGCGATCCTGGTATTCACTCTTCATCAATGATCCAAAAAGTGTCCAGCATCCATATATGTCACTCACATAGAAGGCAAAGACAGCCTCATGGTGCAGTATTTTAAAAGTGCAAGCATTTATTAAAAACAATTCAATTTTATTTTAAATAAAATATGTACCGCAAGTAAACACAAACAGATCACCAACAAGATGGCCCTGGTCCCAGCGTCCTAGCCTGATGAAGTCAGACGTTCTGTAGCTCCTTCCTAAGTGTTTTGTCATATGGTGACATTGTTAGGGGTATGGTCAGCGTGTCTCATCATGCTATATATACTTGCAGACCGGAAGAGCGGCTTCGCTCAGCAGCGTCGGCGCTTCAAACACCAGAACTGACATGTCAAACCCAGGGGCGTACTGACAACTCATGGGGCCCCCGGGCAATAGGGGATCATGGGGCCCCTGTGTCCTTGCCCAAACTCAAAAAAAAGCCTATGAAAAAGGTACCAGGGGAATCTCATGGGGCCCCCTACTGACCCTAGGCCCTCGGGCAGTGCCCGAGTTTCCAAATGGTCAGTCTGCCCCTGGTCAAACCAAAACCAAAAACCACTGTAGCCTCCAGCGTCCCAAAAAACGAAAACTACAGGGAATCAAAAGGCATTCTACTTCCCCCTCATTAAACAGGACTATAAAAATGAAAAAATCTAAATATTAAAAAGAAAATAAATATACTTCAATACAGGTTAAAAACAATTCATAATTATGTATTATCTTGTGGTGAAAAATATGTTTAATCGGACCACCGTCATCTTGTTGATGATACATAAACTACATCACAATAATAAATACAAAACTTCTTTTGCTCCGGTGCTGGACCTTCTGGTTCAACTACTGCAGCTGGAGATTCATATGCAGCTGCTCTGCCCGCCCCTCCACTCCTCCTGCCCAGTCACAGAGTTCCTTGTATTATGTGAAACCATTTACAAAATACAAAGCCTTATGTGAATATACAGCGGAGGGGAGGAGCAGACAGAGTTGCTGCTGTGTGAGAAACCAGCATCTCACCTGTCGGAGTGCTGGGAGTATGAGCAGAGTGATATAGTTATAGCTGTACTCCCTGCACTCAATAAAAACTGTCAGTTGTAGATAAAAGAGATAGGTCCACAAAGTGGCAAAGCAAGCCAGCACATATTTAAAAGACGCTGAATTCCTGGAGTTCAGCTTTAGAAAACTAACTGTAAGAGCATAAAATTGGTCCCTGCTTAAAGATGTTACTTTTTTTGAAAATGCGTTTCATTTTTGCTCATTCAGAGACACAGGAAGTCGTTCATCTTCAGGTTATATTTTCACCTACAGGAGGATTGGGTAAATGACTTCCTGTGTCCCTCAATGGACTTCAAGAGAAGGATTTTATGGTGAGTACAAACATCCTAATATTTGTAAACAAATTGAAATACTATTTGGCAAAAAAAGGCTTTCAAAAGTACAATGCTTAAGCACTCTGTTTGATGTTCTCACTGTTACTTTAAACTGTGCATTTATCTTCAGGTCTTCAAACATTTACAATACAATAAAATCTCTGTTTTTTTTTTTCTAGTCCTGGATCCTCCTGTGCTGTCCCTTGAGTCCCCTGTTACTGTTGATCTTCAAAGTAAATTGATGGTTTCCTGTCAAGTGAATGCATCCAATCAAACTGCAATCCACTGGAAACAAGTTAGTGAATATCTAGCTTAAAAGCCATCAGTAGCGTACAGTGTTCCATTAACCAGTCTTCTACTGCTATTGACCAGGCTAATGTGCATGTCAAGGCAACAAATCTTTGAACTGAAAATGTATTTTTCATGTCTACTAGGATGGAAAAACCATTGCAAACGGGCCTGTGTTGAACCTGGATTTTGTAGATTACAGTGCTACAGGACTTTATACTTGTGTGGCTGACCTTCCTAATATACCAGGGCTGACTACAAGTAAAGACATAAGTATCACTGTGCAAGGTAACTGAAGTCACTATTCATGGTAGATAAATAGATTTGTTTGTAGCTTATTTTATATGCATTTATTACTTTATCTCTTGATAATGTTTAGCATCAAAGCATTCAGTTTACAAAATAAATATCACAGTGATGCAGAATTGTTATTTTTTTCATATGAAATAAGTCATTTAAATATAAAAAGCCTACAAAGTTATTACTTTATTTCCATGTGGAATGTCTCCTTTTTCTAGCCTTTACAGTAGGCAATACCAGCAGTGATTGTAGAAATATAAACCCATGTGATATGTGTGTGAATTGGCTTGTACAATAATAAAATAATTCCACAAAAATCAACCGGTAGTATAACATACAGATCCATGTATCAAACCCATTAGTAAATAAAAAAAAAATCAAATGAGCTGATTATATATAGCAGTGGTCTCCATACTGCGGCCCGGGGGCCAGATGCGGCCCTTTGCTTGCCTTTATCTGGCCCTTGGGGCATTATTTTCATCCACTGATACCAACAATGAGACATAATCCCCCCCCCCCCACTGACACCAATTAAGGGGCAGAAATACTCCCAATGACACCAAAGATGGTGTACAATTCCTCCCAATAACACCAACAATGAGGCCGAATGACACCAACAATGGTGAGCTTTTCCTCCCAATAACACCAAAGATGAGGCTTTTTTTATTCCCGCTAAATTCGGGACCTTTTCTACTCCTAATGCCCACAGTCGGGCCCCTCTTAAGTCTAAAGGACAGTAACTGGCCCTTTGTTTAGAAAGTTTGGAGACTCCTGACATATAGTAATGAAAATACTGCATGCCCTATGCTTTTATCAGTTGACACTATACAAGAATGAAGAGTAAAAGTGAGAGTGCCTCCTAAAAGCCTATTCCCTAAGCAAGTTTTACTCACCCTTCCTAGCTCCCCCCTCACCATCTCCCTGCTTCTTCAGATGGGCAGTAAGCTATTGGTGAATATGTGACCACAAGGCCTGAACACTGTCACATAACGGGGCAGTGACACCATCATCCTGGGTATGCTTTAACACCACCAACACTAATGCTTAGTGGGGAGGTGAATCAACTATTAAACTAAGCCTTAATTGTAAATCATCATCTTTGGCAAATCACAAATCTATACCGGACGAGGGTGCGTGTCCCTATGCACCACCTGGCCAATAGATGAATCTAAAATATAACCTTCATTCATATATATATAAAATATGTATGCTACACTGTAGTTATTGTAAGACCTATTGGAGTGGAATATACTGCGCATAATAATATAAACTGGATACAATTATAATTGTTTACTTGACATCCAAATGGTTAACAACACCAAACCAGATCAGATACCATACTGTTTTAGATGAGATTATGGCAGAAAAGAGGTACTGTAGTTTGATCACAATCCTATCAGATGAAATGTATATTCTCTACTAAAGAGATAGTTACCCCATGTACAGGACTAATTAGATAGTATAATCTGTCTTACTACAGATACACTCATCCAGGGGCCTTAATGTCAGCCTGTAATGGACAAGCCCAATATATCACCATATGCCGTCAAAAATGCCTCACTATCTTGAGGAATGCAAATATATGCCTTTTAAACTCGAAGCAAAATGGATCTTTCATTTAGGCTCAAGGGCACCTTTTGGTTTAACCACTTGACCTCCAGAGGATTTACCCCCCTTAATGACCAGGCCTCTTTTTGCTACTCGGCGCTGCACTAATTCAACTGATAATTGCGTGGTCATGCAATGCTGCACCCAAACGAAATTTACGTCCTTTTTTTCACACAAATAGAGCTTTCTTTTGGTGGTATTTGATCACCTGTGCGCTTTTTATTTTTCACGCTATAAACAAAAAAAGGCCAAAAATTTTGAAGAAAACAATATTTTTTACTTTCAGCTATAAAAAATATATAGTAAACTCAAAGTTTGTTATAAATTTAGGCCAAAATGTATTCTGCTCCATGTTTTTGGTAAAAATAATCCCAATAAGTGTATATTGATTGCTTTGTGTGAAAATTATAGCGTCTACAAACTGGTATAGATACTGCAATTTATGCCATTTTTTTTTCCATACAGTGCTGCGCTAGTTTAACGGACAATTGCGCGGGTCATGCAATATAGTAGATAAATGAAATTTACATCCTTTTTTTTGTGGGGGAAAAAAGGCTGACAATTTTGAGGAAAAAAAACAATATTTTGGACTCTTTGCTGTAAAACATGTCCAGTAAAAAAAAAATGTAAAAATCAAGTTTAGTCATAAATTTCTGCCAAAATGCATTCTGCGACATGTTTTTGCTAAAAAAAAACCCATTACGTGTAAATTAATTTTTTTTTTGATTGAAAAGATACTTTTATTGCAGAAGCATCAAAAACAACATGATACGTGTAATCGGGGTACATCTCACCCTGTACTGCGACGCAGCGCACCACATAGCAATACAGTTCCAAGCATACAATAAATACATTCAGAAATAAATACATTCGCTCAGCGGTATGATGCCTGACGTGATGTGCAGAGGATGAATCCCCAGACCACCACGTCATGCATGACGCCGCTTACCCCAAAAAACCATAGCATCCTGATACACAGTACTAAGTCATGCAATAAACGAAAGCGAAAAAGCGAAAAACCGAGAATCACAATTTACAATAGGCATCGGGTGTGTGGGGGGGGGAAGGGAAGAAAGGGGGAAACACAGGCCCGAAGCTTTATTGAAAAGACAAAGACACGCAAGGGGGAGTAGGGGGAAGGGGGAAATCTTCAGACGTCCTCTTCCTCCTTAAAGTCCATCAAGGAATAGTCTCTGAGCAGACTGAGGATCAGTCTGCGGCAGTCCTCAATGGACATCCTCTCCCGCTGGTGGATGAGGCGCTTTCTGGCGCACCATAAAGCGTCCTTAAAGCAACACAGCACCCGCCAGGCGCCGTCAATGTCCTCCAGAGAAATTAATTGGTTTACGTGAAACTTATAGCATTTACAAATGGCGGGAAAGATACTGGGATTTTTAGGTTTTTTTTTGTACTAATAATAGCGGCGATCAGCGACTTATGGCGGCGATCAGCGACTTATGGCGGGACTGCGGCGGACATTCTGACATTGGGGGGTACTGACTTGGGGTCACTGACATCCCCAGTGACACCAATACAGTGATCAGTGCAAAAAAAAAAAACACTGACACTGTACTAAGGGCACTGGAGAGGAAGGGGTTAACTTTATTTTTCAGGAAAGGGTTACCTGTGTGAGGGGGAGTGTTTTACTAGGGGGCGGGGGTGAGAGAGAAACTCTTCTGTCCCGATCAGCTTGTCCTCGAGCTGTCAGGGAAGTGACACAAAGCACAGCTACTGCAGCTGTGCTCTCTGTCACTGACCGCTGATTGGACCGCTGTGACCCGGCGACTGACATCCGCGGCTGTGATTGGCGGGACAGGTAGGGCGGCGGCGCGCCTCGCGCGCGCCCCCCTACCTGTTTATAAAACACACGTTTTAAAACATGGTTTTGCCTGCCCGTGCCAGCCTGCCGCCGTATTTATACAGTGGCTGGGCGGCATGTGGTTAAATGAAGAATTTACCTTCTTCCCTTTTGTGTGCGATTAGGGACTCTGTGTTTTTTTGCATCCAGTTATATTACTATGTGCAGTATATTCCTCTCCAATAGGTCTTAAATTAACTACAGTTTAGCATACATATTTTATATATATATGAATAAAGGTTATATTTTAGATTCATCAATTGGCCAGGTGGTGTGTAAGGACATGCACCCTCGTCTGGTATAGATTAGTGGGGAGGTGACAGGGAAGATCTGTACCTTTCTGGGGGTTGTGCTAACAGGAGACTCTGAATGGGCAAGTGACAGTATTCCTTTCATAAAAATATCCAGAAGCAAAGCTCTACATCCAAAGTGCCATAAATAACAGCAACTACCAGAATCCACTGTTGGGGTCAAACCAGTGCAAGATGGCATCTGAAAGGTTTCTATGGGCAACACGCTTTGCACTTGATGTTTTATTTCTTGCTGCAATTTTTTTTGTAGAACTCTGAAGGAATCAGTTAATCCAAACATGAGGCAATTCTCCCAGCTCATTAGTATGCTAGTTTTCCCCTTGTAAACAGCATACATAACTTATGCTTTAGCCTGCTATCAGTAGCTTGCCAGCAATGATCAGATATTGAGTATCTAAGAGATTAGTTGTACTCATATGATGAACATATCAGTCCCTGCATGTGTTACTCAGGGCATGATATGGACTTTCTTGCTAATTGCTGCTTATTTCATCTTTTAGTCATATGGTTTACAAATAGACCTAACACTCAAAATTGCTGCCCTGGTATAAGGAGAACTTGAACACACACCCACAGGTTGATCTGGATGGACTGGTGTCTTTATTCAACCTTACCAGCTATGTAACTTTGGAATTCCTAGGTCATGCATCCTGTTTTTCATATTCATTGCAGGAAGTCCTCAAGCATCTGTGACTTCACCAGTTATAGAGGTACAAGATGGTGAAACCGTGACTACAAATTGTACAGTATCTGGTTATCCACGACCGCAAATCATTTGGTATATCAATGACACAGAGGTAATTGAGCTTTCCTCTATTTTTAAAGCAAGGTTCCAGGCTATCAGATCTATTCACCATGATGGGCTTACCACCAGCCTGCTCAATGAACAGTGCATCAGGACTATCACCTCTGTCCAATAGGCTGGAAGCTTACTTAGGAAGCAATAATGGTAAATCCAGTAGGAGAGTGATCTTCCCTAGCAGGAGTATTTGTGTCCCAAGAATGACTGGTCCAATATACAAATAAGTATTTCAACTGTATTTAGTTGTTTGCCTAATTTTCCACTTCATTACAACTTTACATATACAGAATCTAAGAAAAAAAAATTTTGTGACAGTTTTGCATCTTTTGCTCTTTTTAGTGATTTTGATGCATTTTATGAAAGTGCCACTTGTTTTTTACACATTTTCTGAAAGTGCGCTAAAGATGCAGCATGCAGAACTTTTGGTTTGCTTTCAGTAAATGCACCAAAAGTGTGTCCTTTAGAAGTCTATGATACCGGAGCTAAAACTGTAAGTAAAAGGCACAAAAAACACAAAATACACCCATGCTGCGACCAAACTGCACCGCACCAGTGTGAACCCGTTCTTGCAGCCAGGTTCAAGAATGCATACTGCATCCTGCTAAGTTTCACCTGAGCATCCAGACGTCACTGAACTTTGGTCACAAAAGGGATAAAGCAAACATGCTCTCTATTAATATGTACGACAAATTCTGATTTAGTCAAAGAATTTTCCATTAATTCACATTATGACATTTCCTTTAATAACATTATTTGGCATGCTGTATTGTCTGTGTGCAGCTATTCTAATAATGCTCTTTTAGTGTTTCTCAGTGATTTCATGCTGTGTGTTTTGACAGATAACATCTCAAGCTGTCATTTACAACATCAAAGATTATGAAGTAACAAGTGAACTCACCTTGATGATCCACAAAGATTTCTTGAATCAAAGTCTCAAATGCATGGCCTTCAATCAGTTCAACAACAGCACTGCATATATCCAGCTACTGGAAAGTGAGTCCCTGTATGTTTACTTGCATGTATGTGTATGTATGCATGTAATATTACATTTGCCATCTGAGAAAAACGTGTGTGACCAATTTGTATGGCATGTTTGTTAGCTAAGAGTGTTTAATACGCCAAACCGTCCACAACTGGTCAGTTATAGATAGATGTAGTTGGGATTATTTGTCTATTTAGTTTTAATATCTCAGAAACACCAGCATTGAGATCTCCATAGCCAAGCTCCAGGTCCTTTATGAAGTTTTTCAATATTTTTTCTTACTAATGTATAATAAATAAAAAAATCCAGCAGGTTGAATTTCATCCTCCTTTGTGATGACCATGGCTTGCATCAGAGAAAGCAACTGCATATACTGTACCACTGTAGGTACAAAAAATTATAAAACTGAACTAGAATTCTAATGTGGAATGACACATTTGTATTTTAGGCATAGTGATGGTTTTCAATACCCCTTTGCCTTATAGTCCCCTTTTTCTTCTCCTTATGTACATACTGGAAATCAGAATGCAACATGTTGTAGCAGCCAGTGCTAGACAGAGCACCTGTCCTTTTCCAAGGTGGTGGGTCCCAGTAGTACTAACCATATTTTCTCTCTCTTGGTTATAGTAGGAAAGGGTTAAAATTTCAGTTAGGTTTTAATTGCTGTCTGTTTCCCATGGAAAAATTCTTTCCTGAAATTGAAACGCTGTTTTTAACCCCATAGAAGAGATTTATCTTCTATTTCTGTTCTGTCAGTTACATGGATAGGAAGTGAGAGTAAATCTTCCTGTTGAGGATCCAGAAAGTAAAGAAATCCAGACAGCGCTTCTAAACTTTAGGGTACGTTCACGCTGCTCCCTTGAAAAAACACAGTAAAAAACAGTATGCATTTTTATGCAATTCAGGTGTGTTTCTTTTGCATCTACTGTAGTTGCCAGCAACCTTTGAAAAATAGACACGTAACTCAAAAAAAGCACAAAAAACACAAATGTAGTGCGTTTTTGATGCATTTTTGCTGGGTTTTCCATTCATTTCAATGGGGAGCTGTGTTTTTAGTGCGGTTTTGAAAACCACACTAAAGACGCTGCATGCATGTCTTTTCAAAGAGCACCACATCCACAGTGAGCGAGGAGTCCATAAGATTTAAGGGGATTGTGGTTTTTTTTGTGTTATTAGCACAGCAAAAATACATCAGTGTAAAAGCAACCTTACTCACACTACTAGAAGAAATTTTTTTATTTTGCTGCCTTTATTCAAGTTGGAAAATTATGCAGAAAAAACTATATTATATATATTGATATAGTAGTGTATATAAACTAAAATAAAGGTGTGCACATAGAAAGTGAAAGCTACATATCTAACTAAATTCAATTGTATTCTTTGAACAGAATCCATGCCAACATCTTTTTCAGTCACCAGCTTAGGTATGTATTGGGCAGTAAGGGACCTATGTATAGTATAGTGAAATATAAATAGAGCAATGTGATGAAAGGTATTCAGAATGATTTGACCGCACATAGCTGAGTCATATTTTCTGACATACATAAAGCAGTATCTTGAACAAGATCTGCACATTACAACTTAGCTGTACTGTTTCTAACACATTTGAACCATCATAGATCAATATAGATGATATCTGAATCTAAGAATGTCTAGCTGAACCTCATCTTGTAGCAGTATATTCTGTATAGCTCGAGGAGGAATGGGGGTGGGGGAAAATGTGCATTTTGTCCAGAGTCTGGTAAGTTGCTACTCCCAGTGAAATAGAAAAGGGTTTTGACAGGTGCTTTACATGTACGTTGTACACCGCAATGCCATTAACGCCCAAGTATTTTTCATCTCCATATTGTCTTGTATTCCTGCATGCTATGATTTGTGACTGATTTTTGAATGTCATGATTTGTTATTGATTTTTGCATGCTATGTTTTATGACTGCTTTTTGCTAGTCAGTGCTTGCTTTTGTTCTTCTCTTCTACTGCTTTATGCTGGCATAGCTGAGTAATGAAGCTGGCCATACATGGATAGAAATTCATCCAGTTCAGCAGGGATTGGCTGAATTTCAATCCATGTATGGCTATTCCCGTTCAAGAGAACTCAATCTTTCAATCGACTTTTCATGAATGGACTTGTTGGTATATTTTTCACTCAAACAACGCTACAGCCAATCGGCTGCAGCGCTGATCAATGTATTCTGATAGCTGGGGAAACCTGCTGCCAGAATACACTGACACATCGGGGAGGATTCCTGCATCCACATCGAATGTATGGCCAGCCTAATAGCTACACACCCTAGCACAAGCTTCCTCACATTGACTTGTATTGCAGAGAAGGGGAGGGGGTTTGTCACATCAGGTTTGTTACTTACTGCTGATTGCTGAGAGCACTGGGTCTAACTATGGCATCTATTGGACTGAGTGATACCTTAAAAATTCTAAATATAATATACTGTCCACCTATCCCACTAATTAATAAAAAAAGATTCAAAATATCTTCAGAGAATTTTTTATTTTCCCAGTCCTACAGTGGATGTGTTTTTTATATGTGAAGTATAATATGTAAGAATGCAGAACTGAACTCCCTGTTTGCAGCCATTGTATTATTCTCTACAGTACTGATTGATATATTGATGAAATCATTCTCTGGCCCTCATTCTCCTATTTGGTTGCTTTTTGCCAGTTCAGCTCTCATACCTGTAAATCCTTATGGACCAAAGAAATGTTTAAATTTTTATAGTCCTATTGATAACTTTGACATTAACTTTGTCAGTACAAAAGTTAATGAATTAATACATACTACATATGTTTTGTTTTTGGGACAAACAAACTTTTTTTCCTGAAAAATTATTTTAATTTCTCTGCAATCTAAAGTCAAAAAAGCATAATAAAACAATAGTTGCCGGTAATAGAGGCTGGGGAGCAGTTAGCAGAAAAAGGAGCAGGGCATATGGTGTACATCCAAGGCCCTTTGCTGAACTTTTTAGGGCATGCACTGTGTGCTGTAGTTCCTGAACTGGTTAATAAAGTGTTAGGGAGGGGGACGAAAAAAAACTATAACACAAAACTATAGAAGCAAGACTCAAAAAGACTTAGGGGCATGTTTATTAAGCAGTGAATATGACATTCACAAAACTTTCACTGCAGATAAATCAATTACACTAATCTGAACCATGCACCATGAAGATATACAGTACTTGCAGTGAATGTTTGATGAATGTCACATTCACTGTTTCATATTATCCTCCTTTCTTTTGGAGAATAGGAAAGGAAACTGACACTGAAACCAAATAGGTTTCTCATAATTTAGGACAAACCAAAATTGTGTCTAATGAGTGTTAATTGATAAACCACCATATCTAATTTTTTTAGAGTTTCTTTCAACATGGACAGACCAAGGAGACTGGAGTACAGCAGGTATTGTACCATTTTAGGAGAAAATTAACATGGGTTTAATACAGTGAATTTAAACCTATTTTTTATTAAAATACCAAAAAGGTTTATACTTACCTGCTTTGTGCAATGGTATTGAACAGAGTAGCCACTTACCTCCTCTTCTGGGGTCCCCCACTGGCACTCTTCGCTCCTATGTGTGCCCCCATATCAAGCCACATAAACACACACAGCACAGCCCGCCTCTCACTCCCTCCTTGCAGGATTTGATTGACAGCAGCAGTAGCCAATGGCTTTCACTGCTTTCAGCAAAACCTGTGAGAAGGGAGAGAAGACCTGCAGCTAGGCACAGCTTTGAATTAATAGATGACTCAGGTAAGTGCTAGGGAGGGGGTTGAGGGAAAACTAGTACTGGAAGGATTTTTACCTTAATGCAGAGAATGCATTATGGTAGAAAAAAAAAAACTTTAGAGTTTAGAACCACTTTAAAGATATGTTGTGTCTAACTGTTGTGATCAGTGTTTGTGAATTAATTCAGTGTTTATGGATATTGTATATTGGAAATGCTGAGATGTTAAGATGCATGTTGAGATGCATGTTGAGATGATATTTGGATTTGGATCACTATACCCTTTTATACTGTAACTCCTAATACCATATATATATAGTGGATATAGAAAAGATTCACCCCCCCCCCTTAAAGATAATCACATTTTTGTTGCTTTGCAACTTGAAATGAAGACAGACACAGTTTTTGTTTTATTGAGCTAAATTTACTCAGTGCAACTTATAACAACCAAGTGAAAGCTATAACACCAACATGTCAGAAAAAAAAAATCAAAAACAGAATCACTGAGTTGGAAAAAGGATCAACCCCCCCTCCTAAAACTTGTAAACTCGTAAACAGTCAGGTGTACTAATCACCTTCTCAATGGTACACAAAGCCATTTGACTTTCAACTGTGATCATCTGTGGTCATTTTGACTAGCTCAGCATGAAAAGAGCTTTTCTGGAGCATTTCAGTCTCTGATAGCGCAACTGAAGCAAACAATCAACTATGGGTGGCAAGACACAGTCAAAAGATCTCTGAGATAAAGTTGTGGACAGGTACAAGTCAGGAGATAGGATACAAAAAAAATCAAAGGCTTTATCAATACCTAGAAGCACAGTGAAGTCAATTATTAGAAGTCCAAACTGGTTGAAAGAACCAGTAGAAAACCGATCAGAGAGGCTACCAAGAGTGGTCATTGTGTACATGTGACAACAATATCACAAATTCTCCACAAATGTGACTTGTATGGGAGGACTGCAATAAAAAAGCCACTCCTCAAGAAAGGCCACCTGCAGTCATGACCAAGCTTTGCCAAAACGCACCTTGAAGATTCTGAGACCAAATGGAAAAAGGTGTTGTGGTCAAATGAGACTAAAATTTAATGATTTGGCCACAACACTAAGCGATATGTCTGGCGGAAATCCAATACAGCTCACTATCCACATAAAACAATTCCTACAGTAAAGCATGGAGGTGGTAATGTCCTGTTATGGGTAGTTTCATTGCAGCAGGGACGGGAGCACTTGTCAGGAAAAAAGGAAGGATAGATGGAGCAAAATACCATTGTGACAGAATGCCTGTTACCTAGATTGGGTGATTCCTCAGAGAACTGCTTCCTCGCCTCTGGGATACAAGACCAAGGTACTATAGCCGGGCTTTGCACCCAAGACTAGAGGAGACTAAGTTAGATGCCAAACTGGAACTAGAACACAGGTTTATATATACTTCAGAAATAGGGGCAGTCCCCACAATCAAACAAATATTACACATTGAGATACACATCCCACAGGTGAAGCTGACATCAGTCTAATCCTTTCATGTAGGCACCTCCATTAGGACTTGCTAACAGACAAACAATAGGTGACTCAATTAACTCAATTAACAAAGGGAATACACACTTAGGAGGCACCCAATGGGAGAAGTAAACACATAACACCTTAATAAACAGATTAGAGGAAGATTCCTCAGCATGAGGTTGTTTAGAGCTGATTATATCAACATCTCCTTAGAGTCTCTGAGTCTACGAAGGAGGGAGGGTTGAAGCAGTCAATGCTAGTTTGGACACAGAGACCCCAAATCTGTATCCTGGTCCTCTAGTTCTCAGAGTCTCTGTGTTTTGGGGAGACATGGACTTGAATCCAGTGTAAACTGCTTCAAAGGTTCTCCCAGGCACCCAACAAAGAATAGAGCCCCCTCAGATGCCAGGGCCATGGTCAGTAGGCAAGAGGCTAGCCCTCAGTTCCCTCCAAAAGCCCCTGTCCCGGTTGGGTCTATCACAATGGTCAAATTCTTGAGGAAAATCTAACCACACAGTGGTTGAAGGAGAGAAAGGTAAATACCCTTGCATAATCTAGTAAGAGCCCAGACTTAAATCCCATTGAAAATCTGTGAAATGACTTCTGCAGTTCTGCAAAGAAGAGTGGGCAAATATTGCAAAGTCTAGATGTGCAAAGTTGGTAGAGACATATCCCAATAGACTAAAGAGTGTAATTAAAGAAAAAGGTGGTTCAGCAAACTACTGACACAAGGGAATGATTATTTTTCCAACTCAGCGATTCTGTATTTATTTTGGATGTTATAAGTTGCACTGATTAAATACAGCTGGACAAAACAAAAACTGTCTGTCTTCATTTCAAACTGTAAAGCAACAAAATGTGATCATTTTAAAGGGGGGGGGGGGTGATTTTATTCTCTATCCATTGTAAGGTTTGAAGAATAGTTAACATACTGAAGCCCAAGTTTCGTCATAAACAAAACATTTAAAATATGCCAGCGGTTAGCTTTGGTATACCACAGGGATTGTTGTAAGGCCCAGTTTTTTTCAGTCTATATATTAATAGTTTGGGAGATAAAAAAAATAAATAGTAATGTTGACATTGCTGATGACAAAAACATTTGTAGAACTATTAAACTTTAACTAAGTAGCACATTATTGAAGAAGACTCCTAACAAATAAACACTGGCAGTTGAATTGCAAATAAATTTAATGTTAAATAAAAACTTAAAAAGGTTGTAAACTTCAGACATGAAATATGAACAAAGCATATCCCTCTATAGTGTGTACTTGTTTTAATTAAGAGCACTGAGGGGGAGATTTAGTAAAATTGGAGCACTCAGAATCTGGTGCACCTACAACTACAGCTTGTTCAATTAAGCTTTGACAATAAAACCTGGAAGCTGATTGCTTTCTTTGCAGAGCTGCACCAGATTTTGCACAATGCAGTTTTAGTAAATAACCCCCTAAGTATCATTTCTGTCTGCTGCTTAGTTCCTCTGTTATCAGCATGAATCACTTCTGACACATTTTCTTGATACCAAGAGAATAATGATGACAGGGTAGGAAACAGCCTGTGATAGCCTGCTTCAGCCCTGTTTATATGGGGTGTGTCCCTTCCCTCTAATCAGCTCTCTAAGAGCTCTCCTCACTGAACTCTGCAGTGTGTAATTTCAGCTCCTTGCCCCTTTTTTTCTAACAGCTCAGACAAGCTTTATAAATTCTGAACATTGAATGGATGTAGAAAAGAGAACACTGCTGATGGTACAAAAAAAATGGTACAAGTTGTGTAGGAGAATTTGTTTCATCATGGTGTATCACCTGAGGCCAGTTACTTAACTGGGTATATGTAAGGGTTTATAACCACTTTAAAGTGGAACTACAATGTATCTGAGCACCACAAATCAAAAACACTATTTAATTCATTTTTATTATTCAAAGCAAACTTGCCCACCTATCTATGTCTCCATGCTTTATTTTGCTGAGAAATCACTTAGAAAAACACCCCCTAGCATTTCTGTATGTGGCCATCTTGAGTAATGGCAAACGATTCATGTTGGATTCACTTTTTGGAATCCATCTGCCCTTTGTTCAGGCATACAGGCAGGAGGGTGTGCTTAGCTGAGAAAACTCCTCTTCCCTTCCTAAAGACTCCTGGGATGAGTGACATTATTTGCCTAGGCATGGAAGCTAGGAAGTAATTACAGAAATGTAAAAAAAAACAGTTTAAAACAAGTAAATATGATATACTTTCCTATCTATTTACTAATGTGAGCAGCAAAATAGTGTTGATTGAGAGAGTGAGGTTCCACTTTAAGTACACCAGAAATATCTTTTTATGCAAACAGTTACTGTATTTGCGAAAAGTATCAAGCAGGCACTAATGCATGAAATGCAGCATTCTGAGTGTGCATAGAGGCAGAAGATGGATAGGAGGGGTGGCTGAGTGGCATACAGAGGAACCGAGAAATGCACGGACCAGTTTCTCTATGTGCTGCCTGGCCGCCCTTCCTATCCATGCATCTCCGGCCACTGGGCAAATACCTGGTGTGCCCTATGGCCAGTCCGGGCCTGGAGGCAGTGAACACATAGTTTATAGCAACAATCTTTAACAGAGGCAACAAGAGCCTAGAGAAAGTACAGCATGATCTGTAAGTAAACTATACATTGTACTACTACCCTAACCAAATGTATGGCTGGCAAAATGCATTAACCACTTCCCGTCTGCAATGTACTGCGGACGGACGGTAGCTGCAAGCAAAGCGACGTACCCATATGTCGCTCTGCTCTTCCAGGTTTAGACCGTGCATGCGTGTGCCCCCCCCGTTGACATTCGTTGTAGGAGGTGTATGCCAACAGGTCTCGGCCAGCGATTTTGCCGATTTCCTACAGGGAATGGAGATGCAGAGCTGTGCCTGTATTTGTAAATACAGGCACGGGATCTAGCTGGTTCTTCTCTCCCTGGAACCATTTAGTGCGGTGGTGAGCACAAGTAGTGTCCCGCAGCCACCAAGAATTCGCACACAGGCCCTAGTGTCCTTCCGGATGTGCTTGCAAAGCCCACAGATTCTGCAGTATCCGTACTTCCCTCATTCACTGCCCAACCCGGAATTCAGGTGGAAACAGCAAATTTAACCATTCCCCTCATATGCCTGTGTTCTCTGCTGCCATGACCAGGAATAGATATAAGACGATAATGTGCTTCATGCATTTCAGTGATAACACACTCTGTCATCCTCAGGGTGACCCTGAAAATGACAGGCTCTACAAAATTCGGCCCCCTCATAAACCACCTCACTGAGAAATTTGCAGATATGTATACACCCCAGCAAAACAAATAAGTGGATGAGTCCCTCATTCACTTTACTGGCCACTTTGCATTCAAACAGTACATCCCCAGCAAGTGTGCCAGATAAGGGGTCAAATTGTGTAAGCTCTGTGAGCGGGCCACAGGCTATTCAGTTACTTCCTGGTTTCTGGCCTTGGCCAAAATTATGTCATACATCCCATGAGCCTTTATGGGCATTTTTTTCTTGTCTCATGTTCTGTCCCCCTTGCTACTGTACAGCGCTCAGCATACCCTTTGGCGCTATATAAATACTGTATAATAATAATGGAGACATGGATGGGTGAGTTTCTTTGAAAAATAAAATTGAAATAAATAGCGTTTTTGGTTTGTGGTGCTCAGCTACAGTTTATTCCCGCTTTAGGCACTTAACAAAAGCCCATATTTTATAACATTTTTTTTTTTTGGGGACTAGCTTTATTTATTAATGATGCTTTACAGCTTATGGTACATGTGTGCATTACACTTACCAGTGAAAATAACTTTTTTTATGATATTGCATTATATCAGTAAAACTTTAAGGAAGACAGCCAATAGGTGAGGTCTGAAAATTGAATTATGTTAGTTTTTTAAATGTTAGTTTGAAGGAAAAGGCTTTATTTATATAACAGCTCTCCTAAAAAGTGAACTGAAAATAAATCAGAAGCTCAGAACTCAGAATATTCTATAGAAGTCTAATGGATTTAACATTTTTCATTTGTCTTGCAGAGCCAATAGTGACAAGAGCTCCTGAACCTGGTAAGCAAATATATACTTGAAAGGTGTACTTTGGGCATCCTGAAAAAAGTCACACAATATCTTTAGACGATAGACTCTGGTCCTACAGTTTTAAAGCTGAACTCTAGACGAATAATAAAAACAAAAAATCAATTACTGGTAGTCACTTACATTTTTTAACACAGTTTAAGAACTTAAATTTAACCTGGCATCAACTTCTTGTAGTCCCTGTACAGCACAGCACAGAATAACTGAGGGAGGAGCAGCACAGGGAGCCAATCAGTTGTGCTGTAATACATATGTGCTAAAAATTGAGCAAGTTGGCAGTAGGAGAGAGCTGAGTGACAGAGAGATGAACTCATTAGTCTGCTGCTTCTCTTTTTGTCACAGGCTGAGGAAGAGACATAATCTGTTAGGCCCCTTTTACACAGATCGGGTTGTGCCTGCCGGTTTTCAGGTGGACCTGATCGGAAACCTATATTCTCCTCTTTGGAGTCAACAGCCAATCCAGTCTACTGAAAAGAGATATCCGTCGGATCAGATTGGATGGCAGTCAGATGGAAACAGACAGGTGGCCTGCCCATAGAAAAACAGCAGGTTGTGACCAGTCATCCATTGCTCAGCGGAGATCAGCAGACAGATTCCCCGCTGAGCAAGGGGATTTGCTGACAGGTCCATGTGAAAGGGGCCTAAGTGTTACATAACAGCAGCAGAGAAAAATCAGGTCTTCTCTCCTGCCATACATTTCCTAAATACACAGGACGTGTAGAATAAAAAGACGGTGCTGCTGACTTTGTATATCCGTGATAGTTGCACAAATGTTTACAAAAATTATATTTTTTTCTAAAAATAGTTTAGCACACACAAACACAACATAACTTACAAAATTCCTACAAAATCTGAAAGATAAAACTTCACTGAGTTGATACATAACAAATATTTGTAAATTTTAAATTGTGCCTTTTTGCAAAATGGTGAAAATCGAAAGTATGGAAAACTGTAAGCAACTTACAATAAACAAATCTGAAGGTTGGCTTCCCACCTACTGTATATACTCTGGTAATGCCCAGTTGGCAGTGCCTTGTGTGCAGTGCATTAGTGTGCATTGCAATAAAATGATGTAGGCATATTTTTTCTTGCAATCCAGCACATTACCATGCGTGACATCGCATTGCAATGTGCTGCCAAATGGGGTTGAATGACTGTAATTTGAAAAATTACAAAAAAGAAAACATGAACTTGCGCCTGCTGGTGTGAATGTTGGGGGGGGGGGGGAGGGGGCAAGGGGTAATTGGAAAAAAGAGATTTGGTTCTCAATTTCCTTCTCCTACTCATTGAACCCGGAAATGCCCCATACTGAGCACACCTGTGTTCTTTCAGAAATAATTTAATAATTCACTGTATGTTTACTGATCAGTTGTGGATGAACATGAACACAGGAGTGCTCCCATGTCCAGTAAGGAAACTGAAGGGGTCAGCACACATGAGAGATGTGTTTGCCGTTCGTCCTTTAGGATCCAATTCTTCCTGCTGTGTAGTTGGAATATAATCCTCTCCACAACCCGCTTTCTCTGCTGGTAGGGGCTTGGGGAGAACAGTGGGGATTGGAGGGCAAGTCAAAAAAAAAGCAGACACCACAGGTTGTGAAGGGTACAGGGAGGGGGATTAGCTTGCTGAAACACAGCAGAGAGAATCTAATGACAGGCAGGGCACACTAGAAGGTAAGTACCACGTCCCATATACAGTTGTGTTCAAAATAATAGCAGTCAGACATCACTAACCTGATCAATCACTGTTTTTGGTAGAAATGATATTTCTACATGGCAAATAATTTACTAGCAGGTGTAGTAGAGTAAGAGAAATCCAACCGACCCAACAGTCATGACATGCAAGCTGCTGATTCTGTGTAATTGAATCACTAATTGAAAGGGGCATGTTCAATATAATAGCAGTGTGGAGTTCTATTAGTGAGGTCATTCATTCTTTGCAAAACAGGTGGCAATTATTGCCCTTATTTAAAGAAGGAAGGCAGCAAATGTTGTACATGCTGGTTACAGTGCATTTCTCTCTGAAATTCTGAGGAAAATGGGTCGTTCCATACATTGTTCAGAAGAACAGAGTACCTTGATTAAAAAGTTGATTGGAGAGCGGAAAACATATAAAGAAGTGCAGAAAAATGATAGGCTGCTCAGCTAAAATGATCGCAAATGCTTTAAAATGGCAACTAAAAACCTGAAAGACATGGAAGAAAGCAAAAAACTACCATTCGAATGGATAGAAGAATAGCCAAAATGGCAAGGACTCAGCCAACAATCAGCTCCAGGCAGATCAAAGAAGATCTAAAGTTACCTGTGAGTACTGTTACAATTAGAAGACGCCTATGTGAAGCCAAACTATCTGAAAGAAGCTCCCACAAAGTCCCAGTTGAAAAAAAGACATGTGCTGAAGAGGTTACAATTTGCCAAAGAGCACATTGACTGGCCTAAAGAGAAATGGCACAATATTTTGTGGACTGATGAAAGTAAGATTGTTCTTTTTGGGTCTAGTGGCCGGAGACAGTTTGTCAGACGACCCCCAAACACTGAATTCAAGCCACAGTACACTGTGAAGACAGTGAAGCATGGTTGCGCAAGCATCATGATATGGGGATGTTTCTCATACTACGGTGTTGGGCCTATTTATCGCATACCAGGGATCATGGATCAGCTTTGAATACATCAGAATACTTGAAGAGGTCATGCTTGCCTTATGCCTTATGCTGAAGAGGAAATGCCCTTGAAATGGGTGTTTCCAACAAGACAACGACCCCAAACACACCAATAAACATGCAACATCTTGGTTCCAGACCAACAAGATTGACGTTATGAAGTGGCCAGCCCAATCCCCGGATCTTAATCCAATAGAAAACTTGTGGGGTGACATCAAAATGCAGTTTCTGAGGCAAAACCAAGAAATAGAGAAGAACTGTGGAATGTAGTCCAATCATCCTGGGCTGGAAAACCTGTTCACAGGTGCCAGAAGTTGGTTGACTCCATGCAACACAGATGTACAGCAGTTCTCAGAAACAGTGCGACTACAACTAAATATTAATTAAGTGATTCAAAGGAAAGCAAAATCTTCAAACATTTTTCAGTTTATATAGTGAATGTTTGAGTTTTTAAAGAAGAATACAAACATTGCTATTTTTTTTTGAACAGTCTAATATTCACTTTTCTTCAATTTGTTTAGAGGAACAACACAAATTTGATATATTTTTCTTCATGTTTTGATTTGGAATAGAATGTGTCGTGTTCCCAATGCATTTGTGTGGATGGAAATAAAAGCTATTAGAAGGATTTTGAGCTTTATTCACTTTTTTTCAACACACTGCTATTATTTTGAACACAACTGTATATATGTTGGACAATAAAATTAAAACACTACATGATTTGCAGATGTAAAAGCGGCAACATGTGTTGCGTTGAAAGTGGAAGTGATGTAACATTCTTTTGCTTTCGCTGTGTGATGAGACACCTAGCTAACAGGTGAGAAGCCTCACTTTTGTCATTCACTGCTGCTAAGTAATACAGAGTCATATCAGGGCTTACTGAACCTCAAAGAAGGCAAATTGTTGGTGTCGCTTAGCTGGTGCATCTGTGACTGAAGTTGCCAATATATTTGCCCTGTTGTGAGATACAGTATAAAAGGTTATGATGGCATATACAGTTTCTGGGAAAATGTTGTCTAATAAGCATAAGCACAGTTGCCATGGTCAGCTGACCGAAAGAGACAATAGGACATTGCGCAGGATTGTGACCCTGAATAAGAAAACAACTGCTGCAAAAGTGACTGCAGAGCTTAATCCTAGTCCATCCATGACAGTAAAAGAGTTAAACTATTCCTACAGTAAATACATGGGCCCGTAAAAGAGTATAAACTAACACTCCCAAGGGCAAGATCCTGGGGGAGCTTGCATGTCAGCTTCAAACCTCTTATAGCATCAGGTTACATTTTGATAGGAGAATTTTAGCACGGTACATTTAGCAGATGGTACAATCAAAGCTCACACAAGAAAGACAGTGAAAATTAACTTGAAAATAATTGGATCGTCATAGACAAAAAGCATTCCACTGATGTACTGAGGTTTCTTTCTTCCATGTCACATCATATCTTGGTAGCAAAACCTTAATACATACTAAAATAATAATTTCCTTATAACATGATCCATTGTTTCAGCAAAGAAAAGCTGTGTTCACTGTGGTTTTCTCTATTATTCTCAATACCACCCCAATATGCTCAAAACATACTGCAATATAAAATAAATAAATACAAAATGTGAAAATCCATATAGTTTACAAAAACACCAAAATTGGATAAAAATAAAATAAAATAAAAATAATTCACTCATGTCCAAAAATTAAAGTCATTCCCAACTCTGATTCCAATATGGAAAATTCTCAAATCTTTGTTGCCGAGCCCTCCAATTGGCTGCAAAGGAAAATGTGCACCTCAAAAAAAGAAACTCATATAGTGCATTAACTTTATAAAAAATAAATAAATACCAATATCTCTGAGACAATATGCACTGTGCGACTTCAAATCAAACGTGACCATATAAGTGAAAGTTGAACACTGTGTAACAACCGTGATTGTGAGTCACTCTGTGAATATAGGATAATCCAAGTGACAATGCGGTGGTGTGAACTTCTAAAGTGTAAGGAGTAAATACCCTTACCAAAAAAAACATAAAAACACCCTTAATATCGCAGGGGGAATATTCATATAGCTCCAAAGAATGCTCCAGAGAACACCCCTTATGATTAAGTCTTGGAAGTGACGAAACGCGTCAAGAGAAGTGACGTCGGATGCACAGAGAGGAACCGGAAGTGGAGGATCGGCCATCTTGGACATTGGAAATTATATGCCAGGCATTCCTGGAGGCTGCTCCGTGACCCTAGAGGTTTGGAGTCATGGGAATAAGGCATTTTAAGATGTTTTTAATGTAAGAATAATATTAATGTGTATTTTGATGATTACAAGCGGAATTACACTATATCCTTTTCATATACCATTTACACATCTGTGGAGCATGGGTACTATGAGTACTATGGAGTACTTCCAAAATAATAATGATGACATCTAGGAGAAGCGTTTATGAGGCTGTGTGATGACATCATAAAGAGTGGTACTCAGGCTGGGAAGGCGTTCTTTGGAGCTATATGAATATTCCCCCTGCGATATTAAGGCATGTGTTTATGGTCTTTTGGTAATGTATTTACTCCTTACACTTTAGAAGTTCACACCGTATTGTCACTTGGATTATCCTATATTCACAGAGTGACTCACAATCACGGTTGTTACACAGTGTTCACCTTTCACTTATATGGTCACATTTGATTTGAAGTCGCACAGTGCATATAGGCTCAGAAATATTGGTATTTATTTATTTATTTTTTATATAAAGTTAATGCACTATATGAGTTTTTCTTTTTTTTGAGGTGCACATTTTCCTTTGGAGACAATTGGGCTCGGCAACAAAGATTTGAGAATTTTCCGTACTGGAATCTGAGTTGGGAATGACTTTAATTTTTGGACATGAGTGAATTATTTTTATTTTATTTTTATCCAATTTTTGTGTTTTTGTAAACTATATATGGATTTTCACATTTTGTATTTATTTATTTTATATTGCAGTATGTTTTTTTGAGCATATTGGGGTGGTATTGAGATTATTACACTTTCAAGGGTGAAAGATAGACCTATATGCTAGAGCAGGGGTCTGCAACCTTTAAGACATAAAGAGCCACTTGGACCCTCCATTTCCGAAGGGAAAAAAAGACTGGGAGCCGCAAACCATTGCAACATTTAAAACATAATCCGACACTGCATATATATGCGCAAAATAAAACGCTCTGGGGGTTTAAGGGTGTAACCCAGTAAGCAAATATAGGTTAATCCAAGTGACAATGCGGGGCCTAAAGTGTAAGGAGTAAATACCCTTACCAAAAAAAACATAGCCTTAGGTCAATATGGCAGGGGCAATTTTTTTTTCCAAAGAATGCTCCAAAACCACCCCTTATGAAATCTTAAGTTTGACGAACGCCACAGAAGTTTTTAAAACTGAACCGGAAGTACATCCCCCATGGACATAGTAATTCATATGCCCATTCCTGGATAATAGACCCTAGAGGTTTGGATCCCCCCCATAAGCATTTTAAGATGTTTTTTAATCCCCCATTAATGTAATTTTGATCCCCCATATAGTAATTCATCCCCCATATAGTAGTCATACCATTTACACATCTATAGTAATTCATCCCCCATATAGTAATTCATCCCCCATAATAGTAATTCAGAAGCCATATAGTAATCTGTTCATCATAAAGATGGTATAGTAATTCATCCCCCCTATAGAAATATTCCCCCTCCCCATATTGTGTCAATTCATTACCTTTGCTCCGCGTGTATTTCTCTCTCGCCTTGTTCACACCGCGCCGTTCCGGTATTTCAGGGCGTGACTGTGAGAGAGAGGAGTTTTGTCACAGCTGTTCCCTTTCACCTACATCCTGACAGCCAATGTTTTGCCACGCTCCGCGGGTATTTATTTAATTAAAAGGTCCGCCGGGCCGTAGTTTGCCCATATGCTGGGCTAGCTGCAGAGTCCTGACTTTTGGGGCGCCATTTTCCCGAGATGAGGGAGGGGAGCGGGCAACCGGCACACAGAAGAGCCGCATTAAAATGTACTAAAGAGCCGCGGATTGCTTGTAATTTTGGACACTGAGCTACGGCAACCCTATTGCCTATCACCTGGTGGGCAGCGTGCTGTTTTTTTGAAACCGCAGCAAAGGTTGTATTTAAAAGAGCCGCATATTGCGGCTCTGGAGCCACGGGTTGCCGACAGACCCGTGCTAGAGGGTATAGTTTGTTAGTTTTTTGTTTATTGGATATCGTAGTTTATCTATTTATTTCTCTATTATTGCTGCAGAATCCAGAATCCAGAAAAGCTATGGCATAGTGATTGTAATCGTCATCATCTGTATTCTGATCTTGGCCTTTCTTGGAGCTGTGCTGTACTTCCTTTACAAAAAAGGACATATTCCATGTGGACGCTCTGGTAAAAAAGAAATGTAAGTAGTAGATGTCACACTAACTGAAAATTATATCTCCAAGTTAAAGCGAAATTGTGCAATGCCAATGTAGGGCAAAGTAGCAGGTTCACTGATGCCCTCTCCAGTTGCACATACTCACCTTCCTTCTGGCCCTTGGAAGTGCAATGACAAACCTCAAACAAGGCTAAGGACTTACTCTCATCTCCCAACAGACAGCGGTGGATTCTTTATCAGCCAATCCCCAAGCAGATATTTTCCTAACATAGTCTTACAATAGCATGGGTTGAGTTTAAATATCCTGATGCTGTACCTCCCAACTTTTACATTGGATTTACATGACCTTGCAAGAATTTACATGACTGTATTATCATAGAACCAGAGTCCATGAAGTAGACACTGACCTCAAATGATGTCTGAACAAGGATAGCATCTCCTGCTGGAGAAAGAAGCAGACATAGGCATTGCTAGGCAGTGTGAATGCTGAGAGGTACCAGAGCAACAATGCCCAACATTTTGCAAAACATGGCACAGATGCTTGTTTTTAATTGATTGCAATCCAGACCCCATATAAAAATTATTACCCTGGCTCCTATTAGCCTCCATTTTAAACAATTCCATGTTGTTTTTTTAATTACCGTACATTTTTTACTTACCTAAAATGATTAACCTAAAATGCACACTTTTTTAATATCTGTCATATTTTTCCTTTACATTGCATCAATTTCTGTTCTTCTCAATATGTTTGTAGTACAGATCCTGGCGCTAAAGATAAAATAATTGTGGAAATGAAGCCTGATTCTCCAGCAGAAGAGTCTGTTTTACTTACTGGATCTCAAGAAAAGAAACCAACAGATCAGGTACTTTACTCCCTCCAGTTCTAGTGACACAATAATGAGCACTGGGCACTACTGCTTATAGCTTGTAGTTTTTCCTGCTATACTGGCTATATGTATATTTATGGGCAAAGGTCTTAAAATGACAGTGGATCACCGAGGGTTAAAGGTATAGCTAGATGAATATTTTTGGTCCCGATCAATTATCACTGGATCATTTCCTATCACTCATCATTTTCCATTATTCATGCATACATAAAGATTGGAACAGGGAGGAGAGAGTAGCAGCAGCAGCTGTTTTGTTGAAAGGAACTAAGTAATATATACAGCGGATAACACATCATGAAGAACAAAGGAGCCATGTATGCACCGTTTCTACATTTGCTATACTTTGAACTTGTAACAAAGAAAAACACTGATTAAAAAAATGTTTCAAATGAAAATCTGTTGCAGCACTGACTGTAACCAACAAACTGGCACCATTGGCACTTGGAGAGGTAAAAAAAAAATCAGGAACTACCAGTTAGGACAGGACTACAGGCCCTTTACATGGCAGTAGAAGTAGCTGAGGGTTGGGCCTGGTCATGTAGTCTCAGAAGAATCAAGTTTTCATCTTTACTAGCCACGTGGCATATTGGTACTTGGCTGCTAGAATGCCACCCATGTTGATGTTTTTCTGCTGGTAACAAAAGAAAGTAAATGAAAGAAAATGAACTGAAGCTAGCAAAAGTTAATAGAATAACAGGTAAGAGCACAGTCCATTTAAGGGACGTAGCTTGTGAGCCTTGATGCAAAAGCTGACCTGAGGCCCCCCCACTACCACCCACTGCTTCCACGGCACACCAAGATACTCCCAACGTGCGCCAAGATACTCCATGTGGCTAAAAAATTATTTCAGATCTTTGTTTACGCATTGAGAAGGTAATTCAAAAGATTTTGGAGAAACTGTTCACATTTTGACATACTTCTCCAATTCTTTAATCTGGAGCAGGGGTAGGTAACCTTTGAGGAGTGGAAAGCTACCTGAACAATATGAAAGAGGTCAAAGATCACCCTTTTTTTTAAGCAAGGCCTTCCTAAATGGTAAGGAAACTTTACAAAAATAGAACATATAATTGTAAAATAAAATGTTGCCTACTTTAGCAGTTAGTAGTGCCAGTAGGGCAGACAACTGTGTCAGACAGTAGGCTAGTGGACAGAATCATTAGTTTTTTTATTTGTTTTTTGTTTTTTTTAATTGTTATTTTACCATTGTAATTTTTTAAATTATATATATACATATTTAGCAGCCCTGACGGGGAGGGGGGGGCTTTGGTGTGAAATACCAGGGGTTTAAACAGAGCCCGATGTCTCACTTTTGAAACAGAGAAAGGAGATTGAGAACTGTGTCCTCAACCTCCATCTCTGCAGCTTCAGTTGTACAGACTTAATGAACAGCTCTGCACTGTCTACCTGTTTATTCATGAACCGATGTATAGTAAACACAATTTACTATGCTTCGTTTCATGAAGCATCAGAAATAAGGGTCAAGCAGCAGAAATAAGAGTAACCTGGATAAAAAGAGGGCAGGAATGGCATATATAGGAACTAATCCACTCCATTTTCTTCCTGCTGCCAATGAATGCCAGAGGGAGGGAGGGAGAGGAGGAGAAGCAGGCTGCAGGAGGAAAATGGAGGGGATAGGCTTCTCTATATGCTACCCTCACCGTTCCTCCTATCCAGGTGTGACAGGGAGGCTGCATAGGCTACCTGGAACATGGGCAGGGTTGCGAATGCGACCCCTGATGCTATTCCAGTGTTGGGTCCCTTTAAGTCACACATGGGTTCCCAATCTGCCTGCGCACTACAAGTCCCAGCATGTCCAGGACTCACCCCTCCCTTATGCTGGTTTCTGTTACTCCCCTACACATGGCATAGCCCAAGTACAGGGGGAGTCAGCTCAATGTGTAGAAGTCACCTAGCCCTGTGTCCTGGACTGTAGAATGTTCTCACATCCTCCTCTTCCCCCCATGCTCCACTCTCACCTAGTCCGACTTGATGAACTTGCTGCCTTGTTGTAGCATCTCTGGCATCTGGACCTGCTCCAGTTGGAGAGCATGTACCTCCGGCAAGACCCCCGCTATGACTGAAGACAGGTCAGAGGGGCAAAAAGGGAAGAGGAAGGTGAGGAGAGATCAGTGTGAATTGACTTGGATGGACATGTGAAGGGAGGAGACAAGGAACGGGGAGTGGGACCAGCTTGAGGGGGGCAGGGACAGAAAGACTTGGAGCTGGGAGGCAGCAGAGAGAAGTCAGGTCTGTGCACCAGAAAGAGAAAAGTTTCCTGGACACCATAGTGCTTCCTTTCGTTCCCCTCAGCACCTCCCCCATGTCCTCCACTCAGCAGCCTGTCCTGCCTGGCACCTGTGTGAAGGGGAGGGAAGTGGTCTACCTGTCACATACCGGCCTCTCAGGTGACCCTGCTGCCCACACATAGGCACAGTAACATTACATCTATTGTAATAAGGAGGCCACATGGGCCCCCCTGGAGCAGAAGCAGGGTTGCAACTGTGACCCCTTATGCTACACAAATGGCCCATTTTAACAAATGACCAGATGCTGATAAGAAGTGATTACATATTGAGCTGAGGTCACAGACTGAGTCAGACACTAAAGTACAGGATGCAGATCACAAGTGGAAATGGTGACAGATTTCCTGAGGATAAACCAGCTCCTAGCCCATCTTTGACATCCAAAACTATCTAATGTACGTAACTATGGGGGTTATTACTAAAACTGGAAAGTGTAAAATCTGGTGCAACTCTGCATAGAAACCAATCAGCTTCCTGGTTTTATTGCCAAAGCTTCACTGAACAAACTGAACGCGAAGCTCCAGTCAAAATGTAAAAAAATAAAAGTCAGCAGCTACAAAAACTGTAACTGCTGATTTTTAAAATACAGCCACTCACCTGTCCCTCGATCCAGTAGTGTGCTCACCGCAGCCAGTTTCACTGGCCATCCTCTCTCTCCTACATCTCAAGGGTGGGCACCCGGCTGTGACAGCTTGGGGTTTCACAGCCGGGTGCCCACAGCGCATGCACAAGTAGTGCTGTGCCTTGTGAATGGTCCCATAGTCTTCTGGGACCTGTCACCTGTTCCAGGAGACTACAGGCAGGGAGGACAACGTCCGCTTCCAATCGCCTAGGTGATCGTAGCAGAAGTGGGAGTGGGTACCTGTCAAAACCGGGTACCCACTTCCCCCCCAATCCAATCCTTAATGGGGAGCAAGGGACAAGGCCTTAAAGCAAAACTTCCCCTTTTGGGTGGAGCTCCTCTTGAAGTTAGAAGCTGGCTGGCTACCATGCATGGCTGCACCAGATTCTGAATGCACCAGTTTTAGTACATCTACCACTTTGTTGTATCTGTGCCAGAATTTGTGCACTTCTTAAAATGGTGTGTATCTAACTGATATGATATTGTTTCCAGAGTGCCTACTTTAATGTCTTATCATAGAGTTCCTTCCTTCTTGGTTGTAGGTTTCTCGGGGTTTCTTCTGTGAAATTTAACAATTTAAATAATGATAGCAATGGGTTCCAACAAATTTTCATCTGCCTTGTATCTCTTTCACTGGGTACAGTGTTGGATCATCAGTTGGGCTCGGGGGGGGGGGGGGAAATACCTATCAAAAAAGAGAATCTGATAAAGTGAAGTTTGAAAGCAACAACATCAACCTTACATGTAAACTGTAAACCTCTGCCAGTCAATATCACAGTCCTATATGAATATCTTTATAAGGCTGGAGGTTGATGGTTAGCTCCTACAAAGGATAAAGTACACCCAGCGTGTTGTTCTTCAGACATTCAGTTAGCCCAGAATCCTGCTTCCATGATATATACACACTTTTCTTGTTAGGTGAGCTCTGACTTGTATGCAGTCCTTTAACTGATGGCCCTAAAATGTTCGTGTCCATTCCTCCAACACTGATCAACAGGGCAGTTTACAGAAAAATAGAAGCTTCTATTTTTTCTGGGCTCAAACCATCTCACCTGTAAAAGGATGAGAACAGGTGACAGCACATGTACTGAGATTCATGACCAACATAAATGATATTTAGGGTCTTTGGGTAAATTGCTTTGAAGGAAAGAGTTGTCATTGTAATAAAATTATCATAGGAATTGTGCCGCTTGTTTAGATAAAAGTATCATTTAGTGGACTTTCAACATGGCACAAAAAATTATGTTTTTGTTTCTTGGATTTTTTTATAATCTGTTACATTTTCCAGCAAGTTTACATCCTGTAATTTTTCTTTTTTTTTTTTTAAGGAAAAATATATTGATTTAAGAAAACTAAATTGTCTCATGGACAAGGGACTCCGGAATGTGTCCATGCCTTTATATAACTGTGGATGTTGAAGATATCACCAGAGGCCTGCCCTACATTGGGAAGCATCAGAATCATAAACCCACGTGGCACAAAGATATGAATTTTTTGATGGATATCTACTGTATGCTTCAACTGGGTATCATTACCCCTTCAGATTTATGACTCCGTATCAGTCTGCATAGCCTTAATTATTGGACCATAAACCTTAAGAGAAGTGTACTTAAATTTAAAAAAAATTCACAAAAGCATAGCCCATGCAGTATTTTCAGTAGCATGTGGTATTTGCTTTGAGTTATAATATGAACATTATTTGATATATTTATAAGTTATTTTGACTGTGAAAATGAACATTATTTCCCACGTTATCACACCTTAAAATGACAGAAAAAGATTGAATGTTTTGAGGGATAAAATAATGATATATCCTAAAATAATTACATAAAAATAAAATATACTATTAAATATTGTTATTATTGTAATAACATATTTATGTTTGTGAATTGAACATTTTTAGAAGAAAATGTTCAAGAATTAAAAAATAATAAAATCTTAGTGAACAGAGCCTGTTGAAGGGTATTTGGCCAAGACGGAATATATTTCAGATAATGTTTTGGTTGCATGGACAGCTATTGTCTATGTAGTCTACTTATGCACAGTACATCTTT